ATTTGTCTCTGATGATGTCACCACCCCAATAGACATGAACATGAATAAAAAAGCAGTGAGAAATAAACATTGTTGTTATTTTTCACTGCTTTACTTTAACAAAAAATAAATGAGATATTTAAACTTAAAGAATTAGAGATCAGCAGATATTTTAACATAAATGCATGAAATTAAAAAAAATATATTTTCGTTTTTTAAAGAATTGTTATATATTGCTGTATGTAATGGTCATACGTTCTGAAATGCTGAAACAATACCGAAATATCTAGAATAAGTTAATGATGACTGTAATGTATGAGTTAAGCTCTGATACAGATGTCAAGTCTTCTTTTATGTAGATCAGAATTTATGTTATTTTAAAGCAGACGTGCCAAAAAGATAAATATAAAGAGCTATTAAGAGACAAAACAGGCTCAGTCTGAATTGTAAACACTGGAAAATTATGCAATATGGCAGGAAGAAACTGAAACACATGAAAGCTGAATTAGCACTGAGATACAGCAAGTGCAAGAAGAAATCAGTTACTGGGACAGACTGAAATAGACATTAAGTCAAGTGCCTTAGATTCAAAACAAATACTAGCTTAAAAAAATTAGCATTTATTACAGGGCTCATGTGATGGATCTTACTGCAAAGCAGTCATTGATTTGTACTATGATTTATATGTTGATAATCATTTGATTCCTATTAATGGATTTCTAATGAGCAGCAGTACGTTTGTCATCCTACCCAGTATATCTCTAACCACCATATTGGGTCAAAAATGCAACAACAAACAAACTCAAAGTTCACGATTTAATGGGGACAAATGAAAACTGAACCAAGCATTTATGTTATCAACATATCTACATTTAATACAGTTTCTCAAGCTCTAGGATTTCTCAAGAAAAAAAGAACCCTAATTTTGTCAAGAAATAAAATCTGAGATACACAAGCAAATTATTTACACTGCCTGCACCCCGACACAAACCACCGTCAGGCCCAATTCATCACCGACACACATTCAGCTGGAAAAAACTTGTAAACTAATAGCGCTGAACTGAAAAGGTGTTTTACAGAGAATACCAGTGAACCAGCACGCAAAAACTCGAACTGAGGTATGGATGAGATAAGATGATCGTAACTCTTCCAGCATTTCTAACACATAGGAGGAGGTCGGTACAGTGATGGTAGTGAACCTCAAATCCCTGTAACAAGACACAGCTTAAACCTTAAGTTAGTTTCACACTGATGATTGGTTTACATAAGCTGCTGCAACCGTTTTCTTCACGACTGTGAGGAGAAGGTGCAAGAAATTAACAGCATAAAGGTGTGAAAAAAAAATGACAACCATCTTCTTGCCCTTTGCAAAGGAAAAGAGAATCACTTCAAGCTTGGTGTGAGCGTCCACGGTCATTCCAGGCAAACAGCACGAGCCAAAGACAATGTCCAAGCACATTTTTGTTTCTATGATCGACACAGACAGCACGGACCATTCTTCAAAGCAGGTTCTTAACATCAACCCTTAACAGCTGATGTCATCTATAAAATTCAAACATTTCAACATTTTCAATTAATATCCAGCAATGTGAAAACTTTTTTTTTTTTTTTTAATATGCAGCGGCCATTTCCATTTATTTTCTGTATCCAGTTCAAGGCTGCTTTTCATGAAAGCCTTGTATTGTCCTAATAAAAAACATTTTGAATTACCGTAGGTCAAGCCTAAACATAGAGTACATTATGCATACATTCAACTTATTTAAATTGTCTGTAATGGGGTGTGATTGATATGCAAAATAATTATCTTAAACTAACAAAACGAAAATCTCACAGAATCTACTCAAATATCGTGTCACAGTATGGGGTGTACTGGCCAAGTTACGATTGGGATATACCATTTATTTAGTTCCTCTATGACTTATTTGCTCATTTAATCATGGATAAAATTTCCCTGGCATACGAACGGTCCACCTTGTTGAGAACAACTTTTTGCATTTTAAGGTAATTAGTAAATGTACAATATAAGACAGTGGGCAAATCTCCGAATGTTTAATCGAAAAATGACTAAGAACTACTGGAGTAAATGCCAAATGAAGGCAATGTATTAATGCATTCTACCCACGTGTGCAATTTTTTTTTCCTATATTCTGGTGCGTTTTTACATGTGACACTCGCGGAGTCGGCAAATGCTGATGCTGCCTCCCACAAGGCATTCTAGCTGGCCTAGAAGACGCAGAAAGGGATAGCAGGTAGAGAGGGAGCAAGAGAGACCTGAGAACGTGGGCCCCTTTATTTCTTGAGAAGAGAAGGAGTCCAGGCCTTGAAGACCTAAGACAGCACTGAAGACAAGGAAAGAGAAAGCGAGAGAGAAAAGTAGAATGAACAGACTAAAGGGGGGGGGGTTAAAAGGGAGCAGAGGCCATTTGAACACGAGCTCAGAAGCTCTCGGCAGTTCCTACACCCCCGCAAAGATAAAATGTCGGGGGGACAGAGGCCAGAACCGAGAATACCATGGCTCCTTTGGTAGCTCATAGTGGTGGTCTGTTTCCCTGCTCTGCTTTCAAATACAATTTCCAGGCAAAGGGGTTGATCCGTTTCTCTATATCTTGTGTTGTCCAGGCTTTGCTGTTTGAGTACGGGGTTAATGATGGACGAGATGGGAGGTGGGGGTCGGTTCAATAAGTACCTCCACCTGCCAGCGCCCGCTTCTCCTCGGATAAAGGCATCGAAATCACTTTCCTTCCAATGGCCAGGTTTGGGATCAGCCTGGTCCCTGGGTGAGGCACTCCTGCTGACCCGGGGATCACAAATGACCCCCACTCGCTGTACCAGAGGCAAGTTAAATGCTAGTGTTTTAGCACTGCTGGTCTCTACTCCTTTAAACATAACCCCTACTGCAAATGGCAGACATTTTATGAATTTTAACCACCATTATTTCACAGTACCCCTCGATAAAGCGCGTTTACCCTCCCCACAGTTACAGTGAATCCGGCTGTAAAAAGATTTGAATCTTATCGAGCAACCTGAAAAAAACCTAATTCTTTGAAATGATAACCATACTCGGATACTCAACTTATGTAAAAAAAAATCACACCAGCATTCCTATGCCTGACAATATGTTACCTTTTATCTCACAAACTGTGTGGTCTGTATCGCCTGAATCCATTAGAAAGGTTGGTACATGTCAAAAACCTTGATTTCAGTGCTGCAATCCCAATCTAAAAAACTCAGCCATCGGGGCCATAACTGTAACTGAGTCACTATCCCGGCTTATCTGACCTATATTTGCGCTGATTACCCAGGTGTCCTTCGCAAGCTAACCAAAAAACGCTAACAGTGTGCAATTACTGTTCATTCTTTATTAGCCTTATACAGTTATGACAGACTTAAAAACATAAGGAATTCATAATGCACACAGTGGAGCAGGCTTCTCAGTATCATATTCTGCAAGATTGCCAACCCTCGCTCAGGCTTCACTTTCTTTCTAAACACACGACCGATCTCTATTTGTCATTGTATCCTATCTATCATTCCATTTTGTAATGATCCTCCTGAAATGTTAAACAATGGACCTTTTAATGGGTACTCCAAGTGTGTACTGACCATCTCTGTATTCAATCTAGAAAACACAGAAATATTTAGCATTGAAAAGACTTGGCAGACACTCAGTGGCGGCGCCCAAGGGAGGAAGCGTAGGTGGTGCTGTACGCCGCCCCCTAATAATACGCCCAGGACCCGCAGCCACCCAAGAATTGATTCTGGTGACTTGTTTGTTGTTCTATTTTGAAGTGTCATGCTCTCGAATATTCTTTTTCTGTGTGTTTTAAAATGTGAACTAAATAATGAACTTAAAAAAATATATTTCTGCTCTTAAAAAATGATGAAGCGCCGCAAACAGGTGAATCTCTTACTCTTGCCAATGGGGCGCAGCGGCCGGTGGAGCCTTTCTGACCTTCAACGGGTGGCAGCTTGTTTTGATTGCGAGTTTGGAAATTAAGCAGAGCTAAATACCAACAACTGGGATCGCTTTTTGCTCCCATAAACGTCCACCGTTCTGCCGCCTCACAACCTGAGCGGCAACGGAACTGCCGTGGAAGTCTCTCATCGGTAGTGGCATGATTTTTCCCCTCTGTTGCTATCTACAAAACTTCATTCATTCTGGTGGGTTGAAGCACCAACTTTGGCTCTCTCATAGTTACTCTCATGATGCCTCCAACCAAATAGGAAACACCCTGCTGATTCTTCACCAAAGCGTGTAAACTGGCGTGTGTGATCCTACTGAGCTCTGTCTGCCTTGCTGTATGCTGCTCGTTTTGCCTCCGTTGTACTCTCCACGGGTTCGCTGTGGACAAGCAATGGTGTGCGAAATATTATTATTCGAGTTTACAATTGGCAGCCTTGAATGTATTTGTATCATAGCCTTGTGGTTTGAAATCTTTTAACACACTCAATATAACTTATAGTCCGCGGAACCGAGTATAGTTAATCCGCAGGCGTCGGTACGCGTATATATATATAATACATATATACTATCTATACTATATTATACATACTACATATATATATATACTATATATATACTTTACCTTAATATATATATATACCACATACTAATACAAGGTTGGTCGACGTGCCGACTCATAAGAACACGCCCAAAATTAAAGGCATACCTTCTCCTTAAGTGTTACTTGTAGCTGACTACAGAGGGAAACTCAGACCACATCATTTCAGATAGGTGTTTTTTATTTCAAAGTACATTAATTCAATGCTATGAACTAAGTGTTATTTAAATGATGTGTGAAATAACATTTCACAATAAGGAATTCAGGAAGACTCAAATCTGTGAGATCGCAGAGTTTGCATATTTACACTGCAGCAGCTACTGTGTTTGTTGTGTTGAGTTTCCTGCACTTACAAAGCTGACTATTGTACTTCCTCATCACGCCACAGCTACTTAATTTGGTTGTTTAAAAAAAATATGTGAATTAAGTATCACGTGTTTATGTTCATGAATCTAAGACTAACAAATTACAAAATCAGTGGACATAAGCAAAACCTCTGAGATGGTCGGTGTCTGACAATAATCTTACCTGTAGGTGCTCTTCAATGTCCTTGCGATCATAGGTGATTCCACTGGGTGTGATGCAGGGCTCCCTCATCAGCTCAAAACTGATCTTCCCACACAGATAATCTGGGATCTCCCGCTTCTGAACAGACAATAAAACACATAAAGAGTCACACTGACGTAATGCTACAAGATATATTGAAATAATATCATAATTCCTACCATGACACTGTAATACTGCTTAAATATTTTGTCTGTTTAATGACAAACGGCTGCTTGGCACATCATCCAGTCCAAGTTTAGACTGACTATTGTATGAAAGCACTAATTCTCATACCAAAAATAACATCAACTTCTTTTAAATGAAGGTACTTTCATTTATCAGGATTCACAGATCTATGCTGAACCCCCTTTTAACACCTTTTAACATATACAGCAGACAAACACGCAGCTGGCAGTCAGTGAGGTGTCATTTCAACTGACACTTATATGACAACTACCTCAGTTCAGTCAGCTATAGCAGGCCACAAGCCCAAGCAAATAAATGCAATCGTTACCATAGTAACAGCTTGAGCTGAAAATAGCACATAACTGTCTGTCTAATAGTACAGGTGCATTTTTCACATAATGCAATCACACACATTAACTGGTAGCAGATTAGCAGGTTATACAACACAGAAATAAAACAGACAAAATGTCCATAAGCTAAAAAAACTAATCTGAATCGAGTCCTCACAACTGCACATAAATAACTCAGTGAAAATGTGCTTGAATCTATTTCTCTTGTTGCTATGTCAACAACCAAAAAAAGATGGTGTGAAGTAGGTGTGTACTGTTAGCAAAGATGCACTTGTGTGGGAGAATGTGATCAGCGTGTGCCTGTCTGTCTGTTAGCGGTGTAATGGATGATGGTGACCTATCAATGATGGTTCCCTGTTTCTTGCCCAAAGCATGCTGGGATAAACTTCAGTCTACCTATAATATGAGTAGATGGGTAAGTGAAATGGCTGAATGAATGAATACAATTATACACTATTACATGCTCAACTGATAGTAATAATAAGCTAATTTTCACACTCACTTTTCTTTTCTCGTCCACTTGAGAGAAGAGCTCATCCATGTCCATTAGATACTTGTCCTAAGTGGGTTACATTTCCATGTTAGCATACAAATTCATGAATATTCAGCTAGAATATATAATGAGTCAATTTGTTCATTAAAAACAGCGAGACATGTGTAAAACGTACATGTTTTGATGCAATCTTGGCAGCATCGCCCCCATTTTGATTGTCGTCCTGTTTCTCTTTATATTCTTCTAGTTCTCTGCATAAATACAAAGTTATTATAAATGACCCCTTCAACCAGAACAAAATAATGAATGATGAATGAATGAACAGTTCACAGACTTCTATCAGTGGTTTCTTCTTGTCTTCATCAAGAGATCATTGCACACAAATACATGAGCATGCTGGATATTTGATTGCCACCCTGCTACTGCCTCACCTTTCCTTCTCAGCCAGTATGAGTTTGGTCAGATAGGCATGTAACTCGTTTTCCTGGTTAATGCGCTTCTCCTCAATGCTATTCCAACGTTTCTTCTTGGCAATGCGCAAGGCGCTCGGGATGTCATCTCCAAAATTCAGCCTCTGTTCTTTTGCCAGGTTATAAGCTGTAAAAAAAAAAAAACACATCATGGAAGAAACACTGGTTTACCATTAAAGTTTTTCCTAGTGTTTTCTTTCCTTCTGACAGCTCTTGTTCCATAGACGACATGTCAATGATTTAGATATATAAAACAGTCCATACCTTTCGTTATGGAATATTAATATTCCAGTGGTGGAAATCCTGACAAAGCATATTATAATATATAAGATATGCTGTGCCTCAGAGAAGAAGTGCTGATATAAGATCAACTGTATCATGAATTTGATTATAACCACAGGAATTTAAAAGTTACAGTTGATTCTAGGATCAGCACTTAAACACTGAGACCAACTACAGCTGGAACGGAAGAATGAGAATTAAAAAAAAAAGGAAGAAACATATGGACTTAAATGGTAAATTAAATAAACATAAAAGAGGAAATACAAGAGTAACATTGCGCAACATGTGAGAAAGCTGTTTCTATACACTACTGCAAAAGTTTCACATTCTTTCAGGAGTTTTTGTTCTGACCTTTCTGCAGGTTGCCGATGGCCTCGTCGTAGTTCTCCAGCTCCAGGTGACACTGGCCTAGGAAGAAGTGGGCCTTGACTGACTGGCTGTCCAGCTCCAGTGCATGCTTACAGTCTGCCAGAGCCTTGTCATGCTGCTGCAGCTTCACATGGCAGAGAGCCCTGTTGGTGTAGTACACTGCCACTGATGGATTACGGTTCTGGGAGACAAAGCATATCACACAACCCACATGCACAGTAACATTATGGCACTGTAGACGAGGTTCTCACAAGTACATTCAGAGGAAAATGAGTCCCTTCAATGTTTCTAGAAAGCACAATACTAATGTTTTAATGTAGTTAAGAGAACAAATCCACCATTGGTATGACTTATCTTACACTGACGGTAACTCACAATAGCTTTACTGTAGCATGTAGCAGCCTCCTGGTACTTGCGGCAGAGGAACAGTCGGTTCCCCTGCTCCTTCAGCTCCTGCGCGGTGGAACTCTTCTCCGGGCTGCCGGCCATCTTCTCCACCGGCTCCGCGGGGCCCGCCTCGCCCTGCTTCCCTATCCTGTTCCCCGTCTCTTCGGCTGGCTAACTGACAGGTTCAAAAATGTCCCTGTCCCTCCTGGATGTCACAAACCAGATGAGAGACACGGTGCATGTAAAGTTAAGTCCACATTCACTGCAATGCACCTGCAATGCGCGTCTTGGGGCGAACTAGGTGCAGCCTTTGATGCCACCCAAAAGGCATTCGTTTAATTCGCTGAGTGTGCACACAGCTCAGAAATACAGCGAGGTGGCTAGACTGCCGGCGAATTAACTATTCATGTGACGGACATCACTGGCGAGTAAATGAGCAGCACAGCCAGCAGACAACATCCCACACTCACTGTCCCCAGCGTCAGTGCAAGGCATTTACACTGTAACGTTACACCGCCGCTGTAACAAAGGTAGTTCAATGTTGTACACAACTAACGTCCAGCGGGGTTGTTAACGTGTGGCTCGGTGGCATTTGAGGTGCGATTGTTACAGCACCGAGCACGGAGACAGAGTGACAAACGTGGCTCACTTTAGTTACAAGAGAAACAAGAGATCGCTGCTCGGATGTTAGCTGGTTAGCTTGTGAGCTAGCTCGATTTACGCCGGGCGTTTAAGAGAAAAGAGACATTTCTGCTCCCCCGGTTTTATTAACTACACTCACAAATACACTTTAGTATTCAGTGGCTGGTTGGGACGTTTGGACTGCAACTATTATAGGCCTGAAAAGGTCGTGTCGGCAGTAATCTGAACATTTACTTCAACGCCGCCAGGCAACCTTAAGAAAACAGAAATGAGCTAATGCTAGGTTAGCTTGTTGCTACACAGCCTATTGCCTTCCATTTCTGTCCACTTCCGGTCAAGTTAGTGTTTGTTTCTGAGCTCGGCTGTTTCCACTGCTTACCGTAGAGAAGGAATGATACATCCGGTGAAACAGCGTTTATATGATTTGATATCAAATCTTAATCGATATTTTTTTCCCCATACGAGCTGTCATGACAGGTTGTTGTTATGCTGACGTCAAGCGCTTACGCGACGTCGACGGAAGCCGAAAGGATGTTTTTTTTTTTTTTTTTTTTTTAATGTATAACATTACATCCGTGGTTTTTCTCGTTCATCTGACAGAATAAAAGGCACATAGCCGTTTACACCTAGAATAATCTTTATTTTTAATAGGAAATATACATGAAGTGAGCATAAAATAGTGGTAGTGGCCTTGATTAGGCATTCAAATGTGTAAAAGGTTATTTGTATAAACACATTTTAATTTAATGATATAAACCTGTTTGTTGAGTGAATATGCTGCCTTAACCTGCTCTATATATTATATCTTCACAGATTATGTTACAGCCCCATATTGCCACACAACGTCTACCTCATCTGAGCGCCACAACACAACGTAATCACCAGCAGATGGCGCTATTTAATCAAAATTTTATTCAAACTTCAATACAGACACAAGTGCAAAAATCCCACTGAAAACTCTCTCTTGCTATAGGAATGGATATTTTGGTGGTCATACTAGAACTACTTGAGCAATAACTATCTGACAAATCAAAGAAAGCCATGAAAATCATGGATTATATTTACATTAAAGGGACACTTCGCCCATTTGCATTAAGCTTTGTATCATTAGAAGCCCAGTCATATTTTTGAATGGTCGTGCATCATTCCCTCACTTCACCGGAGAGGGGAGAAATACGGATTTAGGCATGTCACTTCCGCTCCAATGATAAAACGCATTGCGCAGGGAACAGGAATCCATTATCTCGTACGAAGATACTAAAACACTACTCCTTTTTTTTTTTTCACCCCCACCTAACAGATCATGGGACTCACTTCAAAACTAAAAAAATAACCCCATCTTTTTTTTTAGCTAAACGAGGCGCTTCAATCCAACGTACTACGACTATAAATCAACAAAAAGAAATTAAAGTGTACGTCAACAATGTTCTGGCACCATTATACCAAAAGGCGAAAGCACGAGCTTCTGCCCAGGGGGCAAACCGCTGCGCGGACCAGGAGCCCGGACTGCGGCTGTGCTCTCACTGGTCTCTACGACACATGAAGTCTACGAAATATGTTTCTATTTTCTAAACAACTGCATGGGTAAATGATAATCAATTTCAACATTATAACAATATTCCCGTTAATACAACGTCAGCCAACTGAACTACTCTTTACGGGACAAACACCTCACTGCATTTGGGCAACTACGAGCACCTAAACACAAGACATGCATCGCAACTGCCAATGCTCGGGGTATACAATCACTAAACAGCCTTTTGAAGGGCCTGCCAAGCAGAGATGACAGCATCGTCTTTACCACTTTTTTGGCACTATCTACACGAAAACACCAGCCTAATGGGCAACAGTACTGCGGCACCAAACTTGAGACCAGAAACTATAACGGTCATTTGTTAACAACTATTTGTTGTATATATATCTGAAATAAATGGTTACATCACTTGTAGCCTTGAATGTTAGGGGGACGCTTCGGAGCGGCAATGGATTTGTCTTAGAAAATCCCCTAAACACTTTCTGGGTCTGTTTTTTTCACGCAAAAGCAAATTCAAATTAATTTACCATTCACACATAATAACCCACATTTCAATTTAAATAAAATTCACGTGAATGCCTTTAAGTGGCCACCAGAGACCTGTATTGCAACTTTACTCTCATAGTAAGAAATGTCAAATTCTAAATTTATGTTACATTTCGACTACATATATAACCCACTTTCAATAAATATTAATGTTTCCACGGGTGAAATGTCCCTTTAATGTTGCCCACTCTAAGGTTACCTGTGATTGGCAGACATTTTGACTCCTCATCAGTAAGGATAATGAAAACAGCCTGTGCCAAAATATTGCAAGTGTTTTGTGTCTCCAAGAAAATTTGGCCATTTCATGACAATTATCTGTCCATTTGTTGAAGGCATGTTCAGAGAAAGGTCAGATTGATTAAGAATCTAGTATATTATCAGGGCCATCCCACCCACAGAGAGATCCAGCCACACACAGACAGATCCATAGATGACCTTTATTGGCCTTTATAAAGAGAAGAACATTCAAGTTTAGCCAAGGAGGAATTAGCGAGGCTGTGCCTGTGGACAGGGTCACTTTCATCCCAGGCCTCGCACAGAGATCAGCGTGTGAAGATTAGGGCACATCCCCTGAGCAAACACACTGATAAATGTGTGAAGGGGCCGTTGAGCCACCGTCTACAGCCGTGGTTCCCCCAGCTGTGTTTACCCATCTCACCGTAGGTCCTTCCCGACCCCTACACAGCGCCCAGTCCCATCTCTGTAAAAGTGGGTGTTCAAACCATAGAGACTGGGGAGGACAAACATACTGCTGCAAGTTTAGATTCAAAAATGTGAAACTGTAATCAATGAGTTTTAACCAATAGCATATTAAATGAGCCTGTTCTCTTCATTCTTAACTTTTTTGCATTTATCAAATTCAAAAGGACAGATTATCATTTAGAAATAAATAACTAAGCCTATATAACTTGTAGATCACAAAAACACAAACATCTGCCCTCACTGACATAAATAAGGTGGACACAATATTAAAAACCCCTCTACAGTTTGCAAATTAACCATAAAGTTGAATAAACCCCTCTCAACAGTTTAAACAATAACTGAACATTATAACCTTCATAAAAGGTAGGATTGCCTATCACATAAGAATGCATTCGTTTTTGCTAGGTCTACCTAATAAACTAGTAATTGAGTGTCGTTTTTATGTTTGACAGATAAATTATTATCACACAAGGACTAATGCGAGCAATAAATGTATTTGCATGTTTGCTATTAGCCACTTAAGTGTACAATAATAGCCTCTGTTACACAGTTTTACTCAAATTCCTTTTCTGTCTGCTCCCAAACCCACAGACACTTTTTTACAGTCTCTCTCTTCTTACAACAATCTGTTTCTGTGCTCAAAATTTCCCATCATGCAAAGACAGAAATGAGACACAATTATAACTCTGTAGTAGCTTGTTTAGGCAACTGCATCATATATAGAGACATATTGGTTTGACAGACCCATATTCACAACTAACATCTTAATAGAGGTGTTATTTATTAATATCTACATCATCTACACATTATTGTTATGAGTAAATAAAAGTCAGAAGTCATAAAGTTTGCTCAGTTAATATCAGGATCTTCTTTTCTTGACCCTGTTTGCTCAGAGTTAATGTGATTAATTCTTAAGTATTATATAGTATTTATTTATATCTCAAAATCATGTTCCCCAAGAGAAATAAAAGCATGAAAATCAAACTTTAATATAATGCCAGTGCATTATTCTGCAATTAAAATAGTTATAGATCAACTAAAATTCTACAACAAAATATTGTGTGAACAAACCAGCATAGCAGAAGCTGGGAGTAATTGGAGGGATTAGACGACTTTTTGCAAAGAATAGAAACTCCACAGTGGTAGTTTTCTGTTTGAAGTACTGAGTCCTTACATTTATACTGCCTCACCCTCCCTCTCCCACTCAGCTCTCTGCCCTCGCCTCCTGTCCAATATCCCAACTGTCATCCTCCGCCATCCCCCCATCAAACCAAACTGCTGCCCGCTGCACCAGTTGGCTGAGCTTCCAGTCACCTTGGCAACGAGACCAGGAAGTTGCCCGGCTCCTCTGGCACAGTTGAAAAGCTGCCACTTCCTGATTGATTCTGGTCTTTCTTTCTGCCCGTGTAGTCGTTTTCCCATTTGGCAATGGTCTCGGCTATTCAGCGCCAAAGCGTCTGAAAAGAGAAAAAGGGTGAACACACTCTCCTTAGCGTTGAGGGAAACCTCAGGTTCAAATGGGTAAAACAAAAGCAGTATTTATCCACAATGGTGGCCCTTTGTTTGATGGGTTTGCTCATTTTGAGAAGGGGAAAGGCTCATAGACTTATTGCGGTTTGTTCAAGTGGGTCTGAATGCAACATGAACAACAAAGTAAAATAATAGTGGCACTGTCTTAACTGAAAGAAGATGGAAATGCAGGAAGTTATCGTTTGAATTTACACCTCAGCTGATTAAACAGCTTTTTTAATGAAATGAAAGGAATGTCGCCACTGCATGTTGATAATTGGAGTGTCAGACTTGTGCTTATATTGTTATACTGTCAGTATAAATCATTAATGTGACAGTTTATTAGTAAAAAAACAAACAAAGTTTACTTTTACGAGCTCTTCTGTACCCGATTCACTCACAAATATATACGCCTGCCTACACACTCAAATTAACCATCACACTGTGACACCAAAGAAAACTGGTCATTCAGGCACACAAATGCACACACATGCCGGGCTGTCAATCACAATTTCCCCCCTTTACATCACTTGCTCACCCCTATAGTCTACTCTTTATTCCATTAAGCTGTCATTTCTTAAAATATTTAAAGGACCAGTGTGTGGGATTTAATGGCATCGGGGTAAAAACCACAAATGACCCTATCTAGAGCCAGGGATATTGTAGAAACAACATCCCAGCCCCCAAGGCATCTGTAGATATAAAAGGCCGATTCAAAGGTAACAAAAACAATGATTCTTATTTTAGAATGATTATATACTAATGAAAATATAGTCATGCACATTATATTCAATTTCTGCCAATCGATCCTCCTAAATGTTACACACTGGACCTTTAAATAACAAATTACTATAATAATACTACCAGCGTTGTATTGTCTTACCTGCAAACCACATTTTACAAAGTGAATATAAGCTCTTTGTCCTTTAGGTCAACACTGATCTGAAGTGAACACATCAAACCCTGTTGTGGTCAAAAGTGGTGGAGTTCAGCAATGTCCTCTAATGGAATTACATGTGACGTCCTGTCCTTACATGTGTTTTTTAAAGATCCAGTGTGCAACATATAGGAGGATCTATTGGCAGAAATTGAATATTATATTCATAGGAATGCTTTCATTAGTGTGTAATCATCTGAATATAAGAATTGTTGTGGGGTTTTTTTTTAACCTTAGAATTAGTTCTTTTTTTTTAAAGTAATTTCTCCTTCACAGGTGAATGGGGA